AGCAGGTATTCCCCCCCACCCCTCTGCCACAACATGGACCAGAGCCAGCACATGCTTTGCTAGCTAATACAGAGAGGTGTCTGTGTAAGGCAGGCAGGACAGTGTCCACTTAGGGCTTTTTGGAGCTAAAAGAAGAGCTTTAATTAATGAGAAAGGCTTTTGTTTTCTTGATGGGCTGATAAACACTGTGTAACCCCCTGCTGTGCAAGTAAATGCTGTGTAACTCCCTGCTGGTTTTGCTGGCCAGGAGCAGCAAGGGGTAGTGGGGGGAAACCCCTCCCTAATCAGAGAGTCCTGCTGGGGCCTGGCCATGCCCTCCTCAGCTCAGCACTTTGGGAGGGGGGGGAGGGAGGGCCCCTGGCTTCTAGCCTGGGTCACTGTAGGCATGTGCCTGTGTTCTTCAGTCCGGAGGGGATGTCTGTGCCATTACAAACAGGTTCAGCCTGGCCAGGTTACACTAACCCGCTCAGATTGAATCAATTCAGGCTCAGGCTTAACACTGTTAAGACATTAGGATCTTAACAAGCCCAGGGACGTATAGTTCAATCTCTCAGTCCATGATCCTAGTCTAACTTGGTAGGATTGTTTTTAATCGAAAAGAGAAAATGCTATTGCATTTTTTTACTTCTATCTATCAGTGCATTGCAGTGGTAAAGCAAACAAAGCTTTTCTTCTCAGTTTCTGCAGACTAATATTTGGCAAATGTTCAACCACAGCTCCTCAGCTTCCACCAATGGCAACCAATATTTTCCAGTGATCTCTCATCCATACACAAGTTATGATCAGAATTGCTTAACTTTGAAGAACAAACAGATCAGGTGCATTCAGTCCAGCAGGGCTGTAGGTATGCTGCTGCATTAAGATGCCTCAAATGACTAGCTGCTTGCTCCCAATAATGGTAATTCAAAATCTGCAATTGCACAAATTAGATTTCATAGATTTCATAGACATTAGGGCTGGAAGGGACCTAATAAGATCATCAGGTCCAGCCCTCTGTCCAAGGGGCATGAAGTCACCTATAGTCAAAGGATCCCAGCAATACAGCCAACAAAATGTTTCTTGAAAGTGTCCAGAGTAGGTGCTTGCACCACCTCTGGGGGGAGTCTATTTCAGGCCTTGGGGGGCATGGACAGTAAAGACATTTTTTCTTATGTCCAGTCTAATGGCGTTGCAGGAGTTTGTGACTGTCGGACCTTGTCATCCCCTGGGGTGCTCTGGTGAGCAGGTGTTCCCCTAGGTCCTGATGCATACCCCTGATGTACTTATACGCTGCCACCATATCACCCCTGAGCCTGTGTTTCTCAGGCTGAAGAGTCCCATAGCTTGCAACCTCTCTTCATAAGGCCTGTTCTCTTGCCCTCTGATCAGGTGCCTGGCTCTCCTCTGGACTCTTTCAAGCTTCTCCACGTTCTTCCTAAATTGTGGAGCCCAGAATTGGATGCAATACTCCAGCTGTGGCCTCACCAAGGCTGAGTACAGTGGAAGAATGACATCTTAGGGCCCTTCTTAAGGATTTTTTGATCATTATCTATTGATACTAGCCAATTGCCCATCAAGAATAACTGGGGGTAGAGGGGGCTGGGATGGAGTGCTGCCACTTAATGCCCCATGCTGCCACTGTTCTGCCTCTTGCAGGGAGCGGGGTGGGGGAGCCCAGGCCAGCAGCACTGGCCTTGCCTCCCCCACCCTCAGTCTGGTCTTTGACATGGCTTTGGAATCATGGTGGTGCTCCCCCATGCTTAGAGCACTCTGATTGGCTGTTTCCGTCAGCACCCAGTGTGAATAAAGCATTACAGACAGATAGACAGGCAGACTTAGGCTTGTATAATATTAGAATGGTAGAACTAGAGGCTAATAGGCCTGTGCCTTGGGATGTGGGCAGAGCAAAGGAAGGGAAGGCTCAGTGGCTTAGCAGTCAAAAGATATATAGGTATTGCAATGGATTCACTTCCTGATTACAGGAGTCATTGATTGGGTGGAGTTATTTCCAGGGAATTGTTTTAGACATGTGTTTTGCAAGGGAAGTTTAGGTTAGATATTAGGAAAATTTTCTCACTAGGAGGGTAGTAAAGCATTGGAACAGACTATCCAGAGAGGTTGTGGAATCTCCATTCTTGGAGGTTTTTTTGACTTGGCTAGAAATAGCCTTGGCTGGAATGATCTAGTTAGGGATGATCCTGTTTTGAACAGGGGGGTGGAATAGATGACCTTCTGAGGTCCCTTCCAACCCTAATTTTGTATGATTCTATGATTTTACATGGCTGACTGCACTTTAAACTAAATATATACACTGGCTTTCAGTTATGACCCCAAGAAAAGTGTCATCGTAAACAGAGACAACAATTCAGCTTCAGAGTGACTAAGACATAGTACTGGTTTTTCAATGAACGGTAATCTTCTGTCTGAGTAAGTTCTGAGTCAATGCACAAGTGCCATACTTTTGCAGCCTGCATTCTTGGAGGCTATAGGTGAGATGTAAGTGCAATGTCCTCCTGACCCCTTGTGGTCAGTAAGCCCATGACATAATTCTCAAGCATAACACTATTAACCCACATTTCCTGACCAAATTCCAATTCAAGTCATTCTTCTCAGTCTGGCTAACTCCCTCCATGCTTTTGTGAATTCTTCCTTTTCCCTTCCTATTCTAAATGCTCCAGAAAGCTATTATGTGACATTAAATGGCTACTGTTTTATGAAAGACAGACATCTTCAGTTTAAAAATGAACATATAAAGGCCTAGATTCAGTCCTAGTTACTCAGTGAGCAGTATTTTTCTTATGGGATCAGTCCCACCAAAGTCCAAGCTACTAATCTGTGTTAGGATGGTCGAATCTGCCTTCAAGTTTGTAAAGAGCTTTGGAGTCTTTTAGGGAAAAGACTTATATGCAGGCTCATATATATAGTATCTTATTCTTTGGTATGTATGTGTGGCTTATTCTTCTCTTGCAGGAAACGTTACTGAGGTAGAAGGAATATACTTTATCTTAAAGTGAATCCATTTTGGGGGTGTGAGGAAGAGGGCTGGGAGAGGAGGGGTTTGGTGTTCACGTAACAACATAAGCCAGTGGGCCTAAGCCTGAGGAAAATGTTGTCCCATTTTTTAGAGATTAGAGGGGGATATGTCCTATAAACCAAACCCAGGCTGACAGGGACTAGCCAAACCATTAGATGCTGTCAATGACAAAGTCTACTCTGCAACTTGGTTTTGCTCTGCTAGCATGACCACACACCTTGTTTTTGCTAGGACAGTTGTGTTTTAAACATCTGTCCCAGGCATCCCATCAGTCTGGGCAAATGAACACCTTTTCCCCCTTTTTAGTAGGATGCCTGGCATGTGTGTTTAACGTTGGACTGTCTCAACACAAATGGGATCATTCCCAATGAGCATCTCATGCATTCTGTCTTCCCTCCACCGTGCCGTCTTTGTTACTCTACATCCCACCCCTCTTCTCAGCCCCCACAATTCAGCATGCTCAGCAGAAGCAGGAGCTCAGAGACAACTGAGCATGCAAGACAGCAGCAGGGGAACAGAGTGTTGCAATTCACACTCAGGAAATAAGGTTGCCCAATCTTCCACCCTAGTCAGCCAAAAATCTCTGTCTTGTGTAGACAATGTACTCATGCTCTGGGTCACAGGCAGTGGCATAGTGATGCGCCCAGGTGCTTGAGAGACAGGGGCAGTGGTGACTCCCCATTACCACTGCACTGCTGGCATGACTGTGCAGATGGCAGCAGCAGCCCCCCATC